GATATAGAATTCTGTATCCAGGTTAGTAATTCTTTGGCTCGTTCTTGATCCTTTTCCATAGATCTAAATTTTCTAGGGATGTCCGGTTGGCCCCTGTTTTTTGCATAACCTGTTACTCCAGCATCTGTAATACGTAAAGTTATAAGCTCAGCAGGGCGAATACAAAGCATCACCATAACATCAGCAAGAGCCTGATAATTGGGTGGAGTTTTTAAATCGTACGCATCTAACCTTTCTTTGACCGATTCTAATGTAAATTCATCTGGATAATCAATACGATTAGCTTCAGCCTTTTTCCGATTGTCCCTCTGGATTTTGTTGGCATCTTCTGTAATATCTGGAAATTTCGTGGCCTCGATAATCTGAGATGAAACACCAATATTTCTCAATTCTCTTCGAAGCCGGGAAAGACGTGATGAACCGGCATTGGCGTCTGGTGCTGATAGGGCTAAGGCATAAGCTTCGGCTCTTACATCCCGAATACTAAGCTTATCCCGTAAAAGCCGATGCGCCATCTCTCCAATAGTTTCCTCCTCCATTCCTTTCGAGAGTTGATTGGAGATCACAATATTTACGTCCCCACTACAATTTTTCTGGGTAGAGAATAAATCATCCACTTGACTCCCACTAAACCCATATCTATTATGTAAGATTCGTTTTGCTATCTCTCTGATAATCTCTTCTTCCAAATCTTTGGGGGGTGAAGCTATAGCTATTTTACAACTGCCCTCGATAACATTTATGGCTTTATTTTTCCCACCTTTCTGATTAGGTATCAATATACTTACCTGTTCACTGCTAAATTTAAAACCATCGCGAAGGCGTCTGCGCGCCTGATTCCGCTTTCTATCATCTGTAAGATTCTCGAGAAACTCTGAGGTGTATTGACTAAGTTCAGATAGACTCATCTTGGGGTTGAGATTGTATTTTTCAACGATTTTAGTTGTGATAGCTGACATGGTTGAATGTTATAATAGGTTTGGTAGTTTATGAACAGTTCTTTAGGTTATATACACTATGGAGATTCTTTTTTCAAATCGAAATTAATTATCCCGGATCACTATACCCAAAAAATTGAATAGGTCGTGGTTAGAGTAATTATTCGGAAAATGAATACGGGTAAGGCACGAGATCGATCAAAAGTCTTGGAATCCATAGCTCTACGTAATAAAATTACCAAAAATATCAATGGGATCAAAGAAGATATAGTATTGCTCAAAGAGGTTCTCGAGAAAATAATCGATATATGCCGGGTACATGATACACGTCAATACCTTGGATCAGATCTGTCGATTTGAAATTCTTTTTCCTCTCATGTTCGGAAAAAGGGAATATATATAATGCTATGTGGGGAACAAAGTTTCCTAAATTAAAAAGATAACCTATAATATCTGACTTCGAGCAATTACTGCGAGAAGGCGGGAATATAACGAAAAAAAAATTGCTTCGCATGTACGTAGTGCATATAGCTTTGGAGTTGCGATCCAGGCTATATTAATCGATTTATTATTATATTTTTTATTGCAGAGCAATGGTTCTTCGAACCTACAATGCTTGGAATAGATTCCGGTATGTTTCTATACTTATGGACCATTTCTTGTAAATATCGGGTTTATTTTCCATTATATCAATCGGTGGTATCATAGCTGGATGGGACAGAGCATTCATGAATCTAATTTGCTCTGGATAATAATAATCCATAATATCTGGTAATTGTAGAAATTCGGCTAAATCTTTTACATACCTGAAGCCATTACGCATTAGTCTGCGGAATGTTGGTCCGTTGTGATCAATCTCTCTTTTGGTTAATAAGTTGACTACTTTCTGGGGTGTTTCCATTGGGAGTTACTAGTTATGAAAATGATAATAGTTGATTGTTACTTATGAAAATGATAAGTTTAATTGGTTATTTTCAAAGTCCTGGAAAAATAAATGATAATACTTATCTAGTAAATTGCTTCGCGTATACAGAAATTAAGCACGCAGAGTTTCTTTTATACACTTCTGTTTATAATATTTATACGCTCTTTCCCTACCTTGACCACACGGGACACAAAGCTGAAGACTTGATTTAGTCCCTCGTCCACATCCTTTACATGGTTGGGGAATTATTACACCCTTTCGAATTTTGAATGCATGGGAAGCGCAATATTCCCCCTTTGCTGGGTTTTTACATAAATTGGTGTCTCCAACTAATAACCAATTACAAGGCATTTTATTATTCTATATTCACTTTCATATTTAAAATCAAAGTTGAGGATAGAGAATTAACTAAAATTTTTTCAAATATCATTTTTAGGCGCCACAAAAACCAGTATATATGGTATATCCAGTATAACACAGAGTTTGCGTAATATTTTTTATCTGAAAATTTTTATATTGACTAGATTGTAGGAGCAAAAAATCCCCCTATACCAAAGCTCCTACCTACGAAATTCGCCTATTCAATCCTTAATATATACATAGTAATCTTACCATAGATATCCATTTTCCTGGAGTATCGCTATGTTTTTTTTCCATTCTTCGCCATTATAAATACATGTATATGGTCGGAGTTCACCATCATCTTCATACATCCGAAGCTTAATCTCCATACATATCAATTTTTCTCGCCTGGTTAATTCCATATACTCCTCTGGATCGTCCCCATCTTTTCGTGCAAAATCGATTATCTCTGCGTCTGCCATCATTTTATCTCGGAATATCCTCGCTAAGTCTCTATCCTCTTCAGTTATGGTTACGAACTTATCTGGATCATCACCATGTTTAACCGCAGTTTCTCTTAAACGCACCTCCCGCTCTTCCCGGGGAATATATCCAGGTGGGTATGTTTTCGATTGGGTGTTGACTTCTTCATTGCTGGATTTTAGTTCGTCGTTCGCTGATAAGTCGGGAGAAATCTCGGGCTCATAATTCACTAATTCGATAATTTCTGGAGATTTAGGTTTATCGTCTATTGGATCTACATTCATGATCTCGGGAGACAGAGATATATCGGTAGACCCGGATGACGAAGCAACTGAATATTCTGGTTGATCTATTGTTGAGTTAAAGAGTTCCTGAGTCATGTTAGTAATGAGTGGAGCGGGTGATATATTCTTACCTTTTTCGATATAATCAGTGATTAATGGTTCTGTTATCTTTTTTTCTGGTTTCGGGATTGCGATTTCGGGTACATTGAATACAGGGATATCTGTGGATGCGTTGGTGGATATCTTAGCTTGAGGTGCGTCGGAAAATTCCTCGATATCACCTATCGATTCACGTAACTTAGCTACGATTTTGGATCGATCAAGAATATATAACCATTCTCTCTTTCCACTACCCGCCCGTTTGTGTTCGATGTTAATTTTAGAATATATTTTGCCAAGTGTATTACTAGTAAATGCTTTTTCACCGTTGGCCTCGCACCATGTACGGTATTCTTGATATAACGTAACACTGGTTGGTTCCTCAACTTGATCTCTAGACCATGATGAAATATAATCGATTATAAATCGGGTAGGATTGGGAAGATCCCCTCTCATCATTTCGGCCTTCATTTTGGTTTTAGGAATGTTTTTCTCTGGGTTCCATTTTGAAAGATCACGATTAAGTAAGTAAGTCATAAAAGAACCAGGTGTATCAGGATGTTCAAGAATTTTACTTAATTGGGCAAAATATTCGAAATTACCTTTACATCGGGGTGAGACATCTAAACAGACGGCGCGACCATCACCTTGTTCCACTCGAATTGGATTATCATGATTACTTAAAACGATAAACCCAGGAAAATGCCCACAGTCAAAAGATTCTAGACCTTTATGTTCGATTGTAACGTAATCTTCTGTAATTAGAGATTTTAAGTGATCGTTCGCCTTATGCCATTCTCCACTGACCATTCCCGTTTCATTCATAATAATAAGTTTGCGCCCTTGAATACATCCATTGAATTTTCCTAAAATTTTACCGAGATCGGATGTTGAATATACAAGCTCTGGACCAAATAAGCTTTTCCGAACGAAATCAGTGATGATATTTTTTCCACATCGTGGTGGAGATCGCAAAACTAGAATTGTTCCTGGAATTTTATCTGGATACTGAACTAGGAATGCAAACCAATTGAGGACATATTCAGAGAGAGCTTTATCCCCGTTGCACCAGATATTTTCTATATGCCAGGTAATTGGGTTTATTAGATCGAAATTAATTTGTTGTGTTGGCTTGGCCTTGAATCCTAAGAAAAGATTGAAGAATTCTGTTTTCGATGGGGTGACATTTGGGGGGTATGGCATAAAATCAATATCATCGTATGTAATACTTCCATTATCATATATGCGATCTATTAAAGATTTCAATCCTATTGATTCCCCTCCAAATTCCACTAGATTAATATTTAATCCGCCGAAACCTAACTTGGGACCCATTTTAAAAATCAATGAACCGTCCGGTTTTTTATGTTTGGAGATCCATATTCTTGACTGTGGAAATACCACACAAGCGAGAACAGTCTGAATCGCCTCATATACTTCTTTACGGGTAAACGTTTTCTTTGATGTGCACATACGAACCAGGTCTCCCCATATGAAACGATCATTTGGGTCGGAAATTTTGGGAGTTTCCAATTTTTCTGGAATTGGGAGGCTATTTTCTTGTTTCGTAGTTGATTCTTTAATACTCAACTTAATTGAAGGCTTTCTGGTTCCAGGTTCTCTATTATTATTTGCACGATGACAATAGAAGCTATACGATTTTTTGTTTCGGATAATATATGCATTATCACTATTATGTGGTTCTTTATAATCATACTCTCGATCGCATAATGGACAATATGCTGGGGTTATCCGTTTGAGAGGAAAAGTATCGGGAAATTTATCCGTTGGAGATAATAATTCATATCCTCGGATTTCGAATTCTTCTAATAATTTCACAACCAATTCAAGTTCGATTCCAATAGCTTCAGTAGTTTCAGTACATGTGTCAGAAATTTTAGTTGTCTCTGCTTCAATGTCCATGTTAGAAATTTTAGTTGTCTCTGCTTTTAGTACAATCAAGAGAGGGCTATCTATAACCGGTGCCTCATCATTAGGTGGGCGGAGCATAAAATCGAAAACAGAACTATCTTTTGGAAATAATGCTTTCTTTGGACGGATATGCTCATACGATTTTTTACCACTTTTATTACATTTTATTTCGATTACCTTCGGGGTATTGAGCATTTGTAAGGAAAATGAGCTTTTGTTGGCAATGTTATCAACAATTTCCTTGCTTTGCAGTCCTACTGGGAGTTTTTTGCGGACGAGCTCAGTAAATACTGCGACCTTAGCAATATTTTTAAGTCGGAGGCCAAAAGTTGATATATGAAGAGACATTTTTTTCTGGTCACTGCTATCGGCAATTGTTAAGGTATTGCAATCCCAATCTGGATATACTTCTAAACACACTTCTTTAAAGGCACGAGGGAGGATAGTATATACCTCTTTACGAGTAAGTTTAGGATCGATACTATTTAGTTTTTCTTGTGGTAAATCAAAATCGATAATAGGGCGAAGTGGGTCATCTCCATCAATGAATTCGTGTAATGAATGTCCTTGTCGTTCACTAAGTATAGCTTCTATCCCATCTTCAGTATCTGTACCAAAGAATTGTCTTGGTCTTACACTATCATCACGAATTTTATACATATATTCAGCCACGCTCTCGGCTTTGGCCCCCCGGTGGTAGAAGGCCCCGTTATTTTCTTCCTCTATCTCTGGCTCTGGCTCTGGTTCTTTCTCAAA